TTACTTACTTACTTACTTACTTACTTACTTACTTACTAGATTTCTCCCCTCCCATCTCCCCCCAGTGAGGGACTCAATTGGGGGTGGGGGGACATGTCAGCCTTTAGGCTTGTACAGAACAGCTTTGCTCCATGTAAGCTACAATATTTGCCTTGTTGAGGTTCAGCGGTAGCAACTTCTCCTCACTGAAGTTCCTTGTGTGCCTTCTGGGGCTTTGTCCAGCAGTTCAGTAACTCTGTGGGATCCCAGAAGTGAAGTGAAACAATACAGCAGCTTGTCAGCTTCAAAGGATGCTTTGCCGAAAGGACTGTCAAAACAGAGTCGCTCCTTCAAAGCTTTGCACCAGCTGCATCAGTTTCTCAGGAAGAGTTTATATACCCCCTAATTGTTTGCACGTTCTCCTTCTGTTGGAAAGGTTGCTGAAGTGTCGTTTTCATCTGGAGCTGATTCTCCTTGTACTGGCATTTTCTCCCCCATCTCTGGCACTGCTGCCCTTCTTTCTCTGCTCTTTGCTGGGCAAGTTGCAGAAGCAGAAAGATCCCTCCTTCAAACATCTGCAGCAGAGAACTTTTCCAAGGATGAGGACTTCTGTCTTCCAGAAATTGTGAGCAATGTGCTAAGTCAAGCTGTGGATGACTCAGACGAAGGCCATCAAACAAGTCCTGGTAAATTTGATCTTTTTTTACCACTGTGGTTTTCAGATGTTCAAAGAAGCCCTCCAGTATTTTGTCTGAAAAGGAACCTTTTGTAGCGTTCCAGGTATAGACAAGTTTTCTTGGCCAAGGACCTGTTTGGAATTTTGATGGCATGTGGTGGGTGTGGCCAGTGACAAAACACCCATTTAGCAGAAGGGGAACTAGCCCCCAGACTACCATTTCAGTGGGACCTTTGGAGGATTGAAATTCATAGTCTCTGGGAGGGAGACTTAGGAGAAAATCTGACACCGAGTGGACACCGGGACTGTGTTGTAAATGCTGGCTGTAAATAATGCCACTGTATATGGTAAAAAGCATAAAAAGCCTCCACACTGTGATAGACCCTAAAATCCACAGCAACTCAGTGTTGCTAGGATTGAACTGGAGCCTGTTTCCCCCCAGACCCACTGATTTCCTAACCCCTTCCAGAGATCTGGATAGGGTCAGTCTGGAGAAAGCTATTATCAGTTTTATTATAGGCTCATCCATAATATCTGAAAGTGCATCTTACTCATTCTTGCCTGGAATAAGCTCTGTCTAGGCATGTGTAAGATTTGATGCAACTTTTTTCACAACTGGGAAGGTGCAAGCCCACTAATAATGCTGTATTTGTCTTTTTTTGTTTTATGTTCCATCTATGCATGTCTAACAGAGACATTATGTCCAGAATGGGCCCAGCAGGAGCTGTCCTGCACTCACAGGTGGAGTACTGCAGTCCTTGAAGATTGGTACACTGTGTCAAACCTCTGTGGTGCAAGTTCACACTTGATGGAATCATTTAGGTAATTCTTTTTTTTTTTTTTTGCTTGACCTTAAGTAGTAGTATAGTTTGGGGAAGAGCAGACCTAGACCCCAAATACTCCACAATTACTAGCTAAAATGCAATTCAGTTAGACTAAATTTGGCTCCCATAGTCTCTTGCAAAGGATAAGCATTTGTGCTGAGCAAAGACACATGCCTAAATTAAAAGAGATGCATCTGGATATTCACTGAAAATGTCTTGAATGTGCAACCTTTAGGTATGCTCATCAGGAATGGTCCTGAAATTTTGCAGATTCATTTCTGAGCTGAACAATGCAAGAGGAAGGAATCTTAACTGTTAGTCAGACGTGCAAAATCCTGCCAGTTGTTACAGCCAGTGGGGAAGGGACATTACTTTTTTTGCTTTTATCCATTTTCCTCCCCCCTCCCCCGCACAGGATGCTGCAAGCAAGTTCTACTAAAGAGGAAGAGGAGACTCCAAAACCAGAAATGGAGCTGATGCAGTCCCTAGCAGAATATTACCAGAAAAAAATTTCTGAGCATACAGTTTCATCTCACCCCCAAGACCAGAAAAGGAGATGTATGCATTTTATATTTCTTTATAATCATGCAGATGAAAACACCAGAAAACAAATCTCCCTTACTTAAATAAAGACCACATCGTCCCTGATAAATAGTTGTGCTTTGTACGATCTGTATGCTATTGATCTGTTGGACTCTAATGAACCAAATTCACATTCCGCTTCTGTTTTTCATTTGAGTAGGTGGAGTTCCCCGGACACCCATTAGGCAGAAAATGAAAACCATGCCTCGTTCTCTTCAGATGCTGAACGTTGCCATGCTGAATGTAAAAGCTCAAAAATATCAGCCAGATGGAGACCTGCCAGTGAACAAAAAGCCGTGCCAAAGGCTGCTATCCAGAAGATTGGATGATAAAGGGGAAGAAAAGAGAAGAAAAAGCAAAACCAAGATAGGTTTGTGCAGGAGAAGATCAGCTGCCTGTCATGGGTAGTGGGTAGATGATAATTAAAAGCCCAGTGTTTCAGAATAAAATCTGAACAAGAGGAGGGGGTAAAAGCTGAGTGTTTTAGTACAGATTAGATTTAAGGGAGAAATGGCAGTATTCTAGAATACTGAAACTACTGCTCTAAATGAGATAACCAAATATGGATAATTGAATTATAAGAGATTTCTTAGTATGTAAATTAGGTCAGTCCACATGGAGAGGTCTGGCTTGTTAATAATGGAAATGTGAAGATCCAGTGTTGGGAGTGAGTAAAAATGCATAAGCATTTGGGAGGAAAAAACTGAGCAAATGGGAGAAAATTATTCTCCAACATTTTCCCTTTTTCTCCTAGGTCTCCATACCTCTAGGTTTTTATGATTTCCTCGCTGTAAATTCACTGTGTTATAAAATAAGCAATTGTTATATTATTATATTTTGGCACAGAATATCATATTTTGTTTGTGTGTGTGTGTTTTTACAGACTTCAGTACTGAAGACAAAATGCTTTCTTACATCACTACGAACTACCAGAAGGCTATGATGGATGGAGAAAATTTATTTGCATGTTCTCAAGATATGGTGACAGCTGTTAATACATTTCAGAAATCCAATGAGGTAGCGTGACTGCTTAAATACACCTATTTTTGCCACCCAGAGGTTTTTCACAGATTTTATTGTACAGAGCACTGAAAAGGAAGCTAAAGAGTAAAGGCTTATATTTCTATATTATAGAAATATAAGCCTTTACTCTTTAGCTTCCTTTTATATTATAGAAATATAAATTGCTTATCTATGTGTTGAAATGGCCATTAGCATCAAGGAAAAGTTTGACCTCTGTTTTCTAATTTTCTTTGAAAAGATGCTCCGCAAGCTTTCCCCCAGTCTGCTGAGAGTGCCATCTTGCTTCTGTTTTGACTGCATCCTGATCAGTGTCCATCCCCTTAGTTCATTGCTGGGGAGAATAATTTACATTGATTGATTTATGTATCCTCAGTGTGTATATCCTACTTATCAGGACAATGACCCTCCCAAGCAAACCGGAAGCAACTTAAACCATTAAATTGAATGGTTAAAGCAATTGTAAATAATTTTTATCTATATATTTTCAAACAAATGTCTATGGGCAATTGGCAGTAATGGTTCTGTGGGAAGGAAGAGTCCAGTTAACCAGGCTTTGTGAATTATTCTGGCCTGCCTGCCTACACACACCCCTTAGGGAACCTCCTGCAAAGCAGCTGTTGGTCATGGCTCTGTGTAAGCTGGGCAACTGAGTGGGTTTCTACGATGGTTGTCACTTGCCTTTTTTCCTCTCCCTTCAGGATCCTTTCCACATTATATGCAATTGGTCTACAGACTATAAGAAAGCGGTATATGCTAGGATAAAAGATGAAATTCTCCAGGTCCAAAGGAAAATGGTGGCCCCAAAAGGCAATCTTGTTTTCATTGCAGAAACAAAGTATAAATCTCCAATAAGGCTGACTGGATTAAAACAAGCCACCATCCAGCAAATCTTGACTTTGTAATAGTCATCTCATGTTTCAGTTTATATTACTTTTATCTCAGTTTATATTATTGTTATAAAAAAATTAATGTTTAATGTAATATTAAAAGATATTAAAATAGAGCAAGGAAATTCTGTTCTTGCTTGAAAAGGGCATCTTGCTCATCATGCAGGGAACATCTTGCGTGTCTTTTCTTTTTCTATTCAAATGTCATCTGCCTCTCTATAAAGGAAGAAAAATGGAATTTCTTCTGTCTTAACTGGATTGCTCCTTAATACAAGACTGTAAGATTTAGCAGTGGCATATAAATCTATTAAATAAGTATCTCTTTGATACTCCCCAACTGCCCTGTTTTTCTCATTTAATTAGATCGCCTCTTTGTATTTGTGTGGTTATTCCAATGGGCTGCTTCTAAGGTTGCCACTTGTACTCTGTGTGTATCCGCAGTAACGTCTTCCTCTCTGATGTTGTGTTCGTAGGCAGCTTGTCTAGACACGATCCGAGGCAGTCTCCTGAAGGCCACCAGCACTCTTCGTCAACAACTTGCCACTGACCCTGATAAAGAAACCAGAATCAAGGAGTACGAGACCTGATGTTTGCTTCTAAAATAATTGACTCAGATAATGTTTAGGCAAATGGGATTCCCCAGTGCATAAGTGGAGGGATTGAGCTGAATACTTCCCGTGATGTTGTCTTTGATTTAAATGGACTCCCTTTATGTTGTTCCCAAAATATTTAAATATACCCAGTACATAATTAGTCTTGGGAAAATGTATTATTTTACCACACTTGTAGACTGCTTTTCCACTAAAACAGTTGACAGTAATAAAACCGATTGATAAGCAATTGAAATGCCCTTCACCCAAAATGCTACTGTAATTGGTATTAATCAGGAACATTTGCAGCTTTGGGCTGTGTGGGGAAAATGCTTTTCAGAGTAATTTCCCACGCGCGCACACACAGAGTCCATTTTTATTGCTGCTTTGAACAGATGGGGAGGGGAAGAGAAACAAGGAATATCTCCCCTCAATTTCCTTGTCTTCTCCTTTTTTTAAAGGTGCCAACTTCAAGTATATTTGCGCCTGGAAATGTGCCTGCAATGTCCTTCTTTGCCAAACAGCACAGACAGAATGGAGCAGCTTGTGGAAGAGGTAGATGAAGAAGGGGGTGTTAAACATCTGTTGAGTTCTGGAAAGTGAGGCTTTGCCTTTAGTTGCCCTGAATTGCAGCTTG